TAAATATGAAAGCCTTTGATAGTCAGTACTGACAACTGTACAATTCCAACAACAATGTCCTATTTTAATTGGTACACTCACCTGTTTGGAATTGACAAGGCAAAGCTAGGCCAAATTACCCAACTGAAAACATTCTCTTAAAATATGGCGTTCTAGTTTAATACATAATAAAAAAAAAAGATAAAGAGTTAAATTAAATAAACCTATTTAATATTGACTCCTATGCTTATAGCACTTAACTCTAGATCTGGATCAGAAGAATCAGTATTCATGGGTTTGACATGAATCCCACATAAAATCAATGCCTGAAAAGATATCTTACATTCTTGTTTCAATCTAATTTAGGTATAATTTAAAAAGTTAATATTTTAAAAAGTAAATAACATGAAGAACAAGTTGTTTTTTGTTTTTAATTATAGTTTCCACTGCAAGTAGCGCCACCATGTATTTTGTTCTGCATTGTGCAGGTCACTCTCTTAATCCCCAAAAGGTATTTATGTTATCAATTAGCTTTAGACTAGGCATAAAACCAACACGTGCCAGGGGCGACTGTCCAAAATGAATTGAAAAACCATTAACATAAACTCTATTTGAAAACACTTCATATAAATTAAAAGAAGAGTAAAGCTAGTGTAAGGTTGCTTTACACAAATGTTTGTTCCATAATCTAACTAAGCACTGTTTTGCTTGTGTTGCCTACATAAACAACTGAGAGGTATTATTTTTTGGCAGTGACCCAGACTTACAAGATCAAGCCTGTGCTAGCAAGTGTAATGTAACTTTTTAGAGCAGGAAAAACGCAGCAAAACAAAGATAACCATCCAATAAATCAATTAGTACACACTCTTCAAAGACATAATAACAAGGACCTCTGTGTGTGTTTGTTTTTATTGTATGCTGTGATTCCTTTTGTGTCCAACACTGTAATAAATGTGCTACAGAGAATGCATGTGTCCCTTGTTTTACGAAGCCTATTTCAATATTCAGATTTATATTGCACAAATGTAAGAAATCATTGAATTAATCAGAACAAATCCAAAGCTATGATTATGGTGGGATGAAGTTGTGACACCCTCCCTGCCACCAGTGTTTAAGTAAATTCTGTAATCTGCTGTGTAAATAACTTTGTGTGAAAAAAAACCCCACTCAATCTCTGATAGTTAGTTTTACCTTTACATAGCCAGACCACATTTCTGTATATTCAATTGATCCATTTATGTTCCAAACTGACCATACGGCAAACAAAAAGCTTAAGTAGCAACACAAAACAAACAATGTTACCAGGAAACATAGAAGTTAGCAATGCTGTTTTGAATCACTTATTTATTTCAAGGCGTATTTAAGGGGTTATTAAAACAAACATGGGGGACATTTTGCTGTTTTTCATTATTATTATTTTCCTTTTTTTTAAATTCTTTAAACTTTTCTTGTTATTTGCTGTTTGTACAGCACCATATGCCAAAATGAAGACAAAAAACTACATTAAAGGACCATTTAACACAATGTCATGAACAGATAAAAACATTTACAACACTGCCCAACCACAGTTAGAATTGCTGACAACTGCCAATACACAACTCACCACAATTTATTCAGCACTAAACTTTAAATTGTTGGGAATACACCAAAAATTGATAATGTAAGGAGCAGGCTGCTTGCAAAATCTGCTTGCTTAGAGTGTGTTTAAAATCACCTGCATAAATATCAAGTATAGCACAGGAGAGCTGAATTTTGGCCATACGGCAGTCAGATTAACCAAAAGGGCATGAAAATGGGTCAATCAGTGTACTACAAAATATATACATAATATAACTATTAAATTCATAAATGCGACATTCAGTGTATTCGGTGAGCTGCATAAAGCAAATTGACCATTGACCAGTACTTTTTTCAGTGCCTTAGTGAAGAATAGCACAATGTGGTACTGATAGTTAATCTATAAGTATTGTAAAACATGCTGAGGTCTGTGAAACCACACCATGTAATAAGAGAGACAGACAATTGGCTGTCAATAGCATAGAAAATAATTAATGAAAAAGCCCCATAAAACTGGCTAGGGACCCAACAAGTCTTGTCCCCTACATCTTCATTCATCGAATGAGTATTTGGGTGGGGGTTAATTGCCATTAAGACAATCAGATAAGACCTAATAGTCCTATGTATGCTAAAGAGCCCTACGAGGGTTATTAAGGGCACTATGATATCCATACTGCTCAATAAATGACCCTACCTATTCCTTCACAAAAATAGTTCTTAGTGAAAGAGGGTAAATATTCTAAAAATTTGAAATGAACCTGTAAATACACATTACCAGGTAAAGCTCATATTAATTAAGACTTGCCCATCAAAGAACTGTGATTGATTTTAATCACAGTGCTTTGACTGAATAATCAATATGGGAGTGACCTATATTAATCCTACTCAAGAATTACATGTTGTACATAGCCCTTCAAGCCAGTGAGGCTAGAGGATGAAGACTATTTTTTTAGTAGTACTTTTTTTTTGGGGGCTTTTTTTTTTAACTTGGACAGTTTTATATTTTCATCTTGTTGTGCCAGGATACAATGTTTTTTGTTTTCCCATTTTTAAGATAGAATAAGATAGAGCAGGGGTAGGCAACCTACGGCACTAGTGCCATGCACGGCACTCAAGATGTCTTTGCACGGCACTCAAGGCTTCTAGAGCCAAACAAGCTCTGGCCTATCAGGAGTCCCAGTATCAGATATCTGCTAATACAAAGAGATGGTGAAGGACAATCCTCAATTTATGCATTGCAGCATGTAGAGAAAGTGATCTCAGATCACTTCCTCCCAGCACTTGTGAATGGGAATCCATACTGCAGTAGAGCAGCCTGGAGCTGCTGTTGCAGCTCCTGTCATTGACCTGTACCTGGCCAGCCTGGTCCCCACTGGAACCCACCCACACTGCTATATATACACATAAATGCAGAATAACCCTCCACTCATACAAATAATATGAACAGCCCACACACAAACATACACACAATCTGCACAAACGCAACATCACTAACAATCCACATGTATGCACACAACCCCACATTCAGCCTCTCACATGCAATACCCCAAACAGCCCCCACACACTACCAAACACACAATGTGACATATCCTTCCACACACACAATTCCACAAGCAACCCCCACACACAGCCCACATTCATATGTATCATACACAATACCATAAACTACGCATGAACATATACAATCCAATAGCTCATACACTCACAAATACAATGATACAAAGCAATTACAGTAAAAATAACATAAGCAGAATACGGCAGCACACACACCTCGATTTAAAAAAAAATAGGACCGGCACACTACGGGACATCAGCATCCTATATTGGCACAGTGCTGCTAAAAGGTTGCCTACCCCTGAGATAGAAGAATGGAACAAGAAATCTTCACTCAAGACTTCAAAATGTAAGTATAAATACTTTTTTAACAGGTTAATTTTACATTTTTAAAATATTTATTTAGACGTCATCTCATTATTAACTAGAAATGTGAGGGAAGTAGGTAGGGTCAATTATTGAAGGGTCGATACCGGCTTGTGGAACCCTAGCCACAGTCAATCAGTATATGGTGGCATCTAGCCCTTACAATATTCAAGGGTTAATACTTTGAGTTTTTATTGTATAGTTTATTAATATTACAGTGTACAATCCTGTCTGCATGTTTTTCTTATGTTTCTATGCATCGGGGTAGTATCAGGATTATGCACTGAACTGAAGTTGTTAGGAATTCACTAGAGAATTTTAAATCCTGGGCCAAAATAGCTGACCTTGAAAAAATAGATGCCGTGGATAAGGTTTTCAATTTTGCTGTTTTGGTTTAAATTTGCAATTCCCTCATGAATGTCCAGACAACTTAAAGTGTTTGCAATTCCCTCATGAATGCCCAGAAAACTTAAAGTGTAACAAATAACTAAATATATATCTAGTAGATCCTAGGGCAAAAAGTGACCCACACGCCTGAAGAATTCTATAAAAGCAAAGTTATGTTTGCTAAATATGAGTAAGTCAGTTTAGATTCTACAGAGGTCAGCAATAGGCTGTTTTAGTCCAAGACCCAACGATTCCAGACGCAAGGACCGGTAGTTTCCTAACTGAGTTTGTTGAAAGAGCAGCATCTCTAAATCATCTTAGAAATTACAACTACCTCTTTGGGAATGTACCGAAGTATTAAGTATTTTTGGTTATTTATTTTTTTATTTCACAATTTTTACATTTATATTCAGACAGATGTCAAATTATATTTTTCCATGTTTAGATTTATTAATGAATTTAAATTTTATTTAATAATTCATTTTTTTTTTTTACCAATTATTCAAATTGAAGAGTTCTTATAATTTTTAACTAGCTTTTTTTTTTATATTTATTGTCTAAGTTTTATGGAACTTTTAGAGATAGCTAGTTTTTATTATTTGTGAAACATATCAATTAATATTGTTGCCTGTCCTGTTTTATATATATATATGTCTCCTTAAAACAGAACTTTGAGAATGTGGTGAGTTTAATCATGTGTCATTTACTAATTTACATTTTTTTCTCTCCTTCCTTTTCTGATGGTAATATATTACAAATTTTCAACAAGTGTAATTGGGTTCATTTTTAGTATGAGAACAGGTTGGTTATTACTTTGAAGATATACCAATATAATTATATGGGCAGAGATTCATTTTTTTATTTTATGTTACCAAGTCCAATAAGGTTACTGTCTATAATGTTGTTTTTGTGTATAATGAGTTATAAGGACTAACCAATATTGTCATAAACTATTTGTGAATTTAAATTGAATGCAATCGTATCACAGTATGCAAATGAAGGACTCGGCAATGCACGAATCAGGGCGATCAGAATAAACTGAATGCGCCCTTACATACCCTTCTCCAAGATGGAGAAAGCAGCATTACATCCTAAGGAAGCCGGAAGTAACTTGGGTAGACGACGTCTACGTTAAAGGACCACTATAGTGCCAGGAAAACATACTCGTTTTCCTGGCACTATAGTGCCCTGAGGGTGCCCCCACCCTCAGGGTCCCCCTCCCGCCGGGCTCTGGGGAGAGGAAGGGGTTAAACACTTACCTTTCTCCAGCGCCGGGCGGGGAGCTTTCCTCCTCCTCTCCTTCCTCCTAGCGACGTCATCGGCTGAATGCGCATGCGCGGCAGGAGCCGCACGCACATTCAGCCAGTCTCATAGGAAAGCATTTACAATGCTTTCCTATGGACGCTGGCGTCTTCTCACTGTGATTTTCACAGTGAGAAGCACGCAAGCGCCTCTAGCGGCTGTCAATGAGACAGCCACTAGAGGCTTTAGAGGCTGGATTAACCCTCAGTGTAAACATAGCAGTTTCTCTAAAAAAAGGGTTAATCCTATCTGGACCTGGCACCCAGACCACTTCATTGAGCTGAAGTGGTCTGGGTGCCTATAGTAGTCCTTTAAGTGTCCAGCAGTCCATTTAATTTTTTTTATGCAAAGCATACCAACTCTATTTTTTAAACTAAGGAGATTCAAAATCCAAAGAGCTGTAACTGTAAATTTTTAAATTTAAGCACTAGAAAATTAATCAATATTATGTTTATATTTATATTATTGATTTTATGGTTATGCAGTCTCTTCCTAAGTTGTATTATTACCCCACATGAAACACTCTCACAATTAATGCAGGTCAAGAGCAATGTCACAGGGTTATAAAACAAACATTGCCTGTGGGTGGGGACCATAAATAAACAAGATATTGTTCCACCCAGACCTCACCCATTGCCGGCAGGTGGGGTGCCCAAGTAAAAAAGGAAGGGAAATTATTGTTCACCCCCAGCCAACACCCATTTCTGGTGGGTTGTAGCCCCAAGTAAAAAGCGGGGGTAACCTATTCTTCCCCCTAGCTCCCACCCATTGCCGGCAGGTAAGGGCCCTAAGTAATAAATAGGGAGAAGGGTGAAGGCTCGGGGGATCAATAGGTCCCACCCCACATTTTTACTTAGGGACCCCACCCGCTGGCACTGGGTGATGGCTGAGGGAAAACAATAGGTTTACCACTTAGAGCCCACTCCCTCTTGCAATGGGTGGGGGATGTGGGAGAACAGTAGGTTTTCCCCCTTTTATTACTTGGAACCCCAACCCACCGCTAGTGGGTGGAGGCTGAGGGGCAATAGGTTCCCCCTTTATTACTTAGGGCTTCCAGCTGCCAGCAATGTGTGGGGTGGAAACAATAGGTTCTCCACCATTATTATCTGTAGGCATATCTGATGTGAGTGAACCGAACTAACGAATTTGCACTAAAAGAATTAGACATTTGTCCATTCATCTGAATACATGAATGGCTCAGTTATTTGGTGCTTATTTGTTAATTTGGCTCACTCTCATCAGACATGATGGGAGTGAGCAGAAAGAACGAAGAGCTCAATGAAAGAATGAGCCATTCGTTCATTTGGATGAAGCGCTCGGCCTTTGAAATTACAGACAGTAACATGGAAGAATTTCGCTCAGCGCCCATTTGTTTGTTTGTTTGGCCCATTCATTCTTTGGTATTCAAAAGAATGGATGAAAATGCCAATTTTCGTCCGAAAACACATCCGCCTGAATACGAATGCCCAAGTCTACTAAATAGTCAATTCATTATCTGTCTTGTTTGTTTCATGATTCGTCCACATGGCATTTCAGATCGCCTGATGAAATTTAGCCTGTTTGAAAACTAATGCACAGGTCTTTCTAATGACAAAGTTCTCCTTTGGTTGTAATAAACTCAAAACTGTACAGGAAAATTTTAAATTTAAAGGATCACTGTAGGGTCAGGAACACAAACATGTATTTCTGACCCCATAGTGAAAACCCACCATTTAGGTGGCTTCTCCCCTCCCCCCCCCCCACCCTTCAGCCCCTTCAGAATGGGTTAAAACTCCCCTTCTTTTCAGCTCTCCACGGGTCCGCCGGCGCTGACCCCGCCCCCTTGGTAACATCATCAAAATTACCCATGGGGAAAACATTGGATTGGCTAAAATCGGCAAGGAGACGGGGCCAAACGCCGTTTTGGCCATTCAGCACAAAAAGGGCACGGCAGTACATTATTAATCTTGGGTACTTGTCTATTTACTGGCCAGCAAACTATATAATATTTATAATGTTATTCATACTATCAAACATTTTATTATAGTCCATTTTCAGCAACATTATATTGTCTTACAATGTAAGATCACCTGACAATGCTTCACTTGATATTTGTTAATTACTTGAATACAAGTCAGTGTAAATGTATATCATTAATGTGGGACTCTGATCTTAAATTCTGTCACTTAGATTAATTAGAGTCTGGCATTGTTGAAATTGGCATATCTGAAATGCTACACCAAAAATGTAGTTTACTAACTGGCATAATTTTGCGATGGCAGTTGGTAAAAGGTTGAGCTAGAGGTCATATACACATGAACCATAGAAACAACAACCAAAGAGTGTCTCTCACAGTTTTATCCTCCTTTGAATAGCACTCAAATAGCAGATAATCCATTAATAAGAGATCAAGGATATGACCAGTCTCTTGGATTTCTATATATTATTAAAGTCAGGAGAAACCTGCTTGCAAAACATAATTATAAATATCACAGATCTGTAGACCGACGTCTTTACTAATTTTAACAGTTCCTTACTTAACTTAGAAATCAAACTATATGTATTCAGAATGATATTCATGATGGTACTAACAATTAAATATTTTTCCAAGTGTTCTTTAGCATTTGGCAACTTTCTGTTTGCTCTACCTGAATTCTACAGCCAAATACAGTAGTTCAGTTCATGATGGATATGATTTCACTGCAGGCCCAATATATATTTCATATTCTCCTGTATCTATTACATTGCAGTCATCTTTTTAAAGGTTTCCTATTTAGAATGCAATTAAAACTGTCACCATTTTTTATTTGAAGATTATATTTAATATATTTATTGTAACCAAAGTGTAAATTATAATATAATTTATAGATATAAGTCAATACCTCTTCTAATATTTATATATTTACAGCTTACACATGCTGCACTGGAGCACCAAGAGCTAAAGTGCATTAAAAAAACCTGGCATCATGTGAAAGTGCAAGGCATCTCAAAAATGAACATCAAAATGGTTTCAGACCTTCAAATTGTGCATGGTTGTAGCAGATAAGAGGTGCTCGCAGCCAAACAGAGCAAGAGTAAAATGATTCATTAACATATACAAATTACAAAATAGCACGTCATTTCCTGTGATCATAAAAATTACAACAGTTTTTCTTTAATTAGTGTTCAGAGTTTCATAAGGCATGTTCTTTCTAATGACAGATTTGCCCAAGTGTTGGATGGAAGCCATGGGCCAGTGTATTTGTATATTTTTTCAAATATACAAAACTATAGGTATTTATTTAGAGAGTTATTTATTCCTACAAATGTGGAGAGAAGTTATACCATTTAGAAAGTCCTGATGAAAGGACAAAACGGACCTGGTTGCCACCAGTTATGGACAGACAGATTACAAACACTTCCTGAGGATGATACCGGCAAGAAGCCTCAGTACGGTGCTCATTCTGGATGCTTATGGTGATATGTGCTGTCTTTTAACTTGTAAGTATATTTTTATTTAATAAATCCTGTTCTATCATTCCTACACATGTCCAGTATTTTTGGTTGTCCCCAGTCTTTTGAAGAAACCCAGAGTAAGGGTTATGGACACTCACAGTCATAAGTTTTAGGGCTCTGCCAAACAGGACTCAGAAGGGAGATCAATAGAGGAACCAGGAACTGGACAATGTGGATTCACAGAAGTCAATCACACGATTAAAAATAAGAAAATAACTATGTCACATTGGATATTCATTTTATTACTATATTTTTATTTTTTATTTATATGAATGCTTAAATATTGAAAATACATGCAGGTGATTTTTTTTTTTAACTTTACTGAACTAGTGACAGGCAATTATAAGCTAGTCTTTGTTTGATGCAGAAATACTATTAGTCACTGTATCTGGTTTTGGTTACCTTTTGTTTTTGTTCATTTGATAGAATTCACATTAGCAATAATCACTACAGACTGTACAAAAGGCACAACAAGCATTCTCCTTGCACCTTGCTACGGTGGACGCAATCTTTAAAAATAAGAGGGGTACCCAAGTACATCACTACGGAGGAATTGCCACACTACCTGTGAAACACCTACTGGCCTTACTGCTACCTCCGACACAGGCTAAAAAAACCTCATGTTTGATGGTATATTTTGCCTGCCAAAATCACCCAGAGCTGTGAGTGACATCATAGTTCGCTGCTCACTTACACAAGACAATCTAGCACTCATAACGGCACTATGAAGCAAGACACCTTACTCGTTTCAAGGAACTGGCCTATCATTCTACCAAAACCGCTCGAGGCTCACCTTGCAATGGCGAAGATCACAAGATCCCAATCCCAATTACAAGCCGATTGAGAACAGCCACAGTGATATACCGATGGACCACACTGAAATCCCTCATGGTGAACCACAGTGGGACTGTGAAGATGCACCAGCCCTGTTTAAGGCACTGGGACTTGCTGAGCCTGACATGGAGGCAGAGAATCAAAGAGGCTCTCACACCTGGGACTCGAATACCATAGTCTCCTTCACTCCAAGGGGCCACATGAGCAGGGATATGACGGAGAACTGGGTCACTACAAGAGCAAGCAATCACAGACTGCACCCTCTGTGCATTGTTTAATTTTTGTTTTCACTGTTTGGTTTTTCTGTTTTAAAGGTTTCACAGTTTTTTTTTCTAAAAGTAATAGTCTCCATTGGTTGGGGTGGTCTATTGAAGCTCTCCTGAGACCTGGCAGATATCAGAGATGGTGCGACTCCATTTGATAGGGATGCCTACCCATCCAGCCCCCTTTGTTAGGGATAATAAACATGAGAGCTAGCTTATACCCAACATATTAGAGTTGTGTGGGCAACACTACAGGCATCAATGTAGGCTTGCTTCCTACAACATGTTGTTATCGCATGACACCTACAACCTACCTTGCATCTCCCCTTAACAGTTTAACTCATGGATGGCATTGTGTCTCAGGGCTCTTTTGATCACTGAAAACAATCTCAGACACCTGTAATAATTAGATTGACAGGTGAGCCCAATTTAAGGAAAAACTACTAAAGGAGGGTGTTCCACATTATTAAACAGAGCATCATTTTCATGCAATATGGGGAAGAAAAAGGATCTCTCTGCTGCCGAAAAGAGTGAAATAGTTCAATGCCTTGGACGAGGTATGAAAACATTAGATATTTCATGAAAACTTAAGTGTGATCATCTCACTATTAAGAGATTTGTGGCTGATTCAGAGCACAGACGGGTTCGTGCAGATAAAGGCA